AACAACAACAATAACAATAGACCCTAATATTTGTTGAACACTTACTTTGTGTTAATCACTATATTCAGTTGCTTATGCATTTGATTTTTTTTAGGGAGAGTTGTGCTATAGGGCACTTGTACTCACTGGAGAGACAGAGAAAGAGAGACATAAAGTAAGAAAGTCCCCTGGGAGGATGGCCATGCCACAATCCCTTGTACTCCATTCTCCCATTGGGATTTTGGGCACACACACACACACGTGTCCGACTTGAGTTTTAGCCAGCAGATCTGGGACTTGAACCACAGCCAACAACATGGGAGTCCAGCGACATAACCATTATGCCACCTGCTGGTCCCTATTTTATCTTAATTAACATTCAAATTCTATCAGCTAGATGTTAGTACTTTCTCCTTTTATAGATGAGAAGTGAAGGCCAGTAGTATTTAAGCAGTCAAGCAACTGCCCAAGGATATACAACTAGGAAGTTCTCCCTCAGGGAATCAAATTCTGGCAGTATGGCTTCAATCCTCAAATCTTAACCATCCACCTTCACGTATTAACTAAATAAGTAAACTGATAGTATCTCACCTCTGGAGTTCATCATATTCAAAAGCTGGACACACTGCACTGCCCTCCCTGACCCCATCACCAAACAACTCTGAATACAATGTTTTGTAAGCATATATTCCCACCTGTTTAAGACTATGGTTAACTATAAAAGCCAGAATTCTCTATTTTATTTACTTTTATCTCTCAAGTGTGTAAAATAAAGTACTACTGTATACATAAGAGTAGATTTATTACATGGAATTAATGTCTTTCATGCCTATAATTATTGATAGAATGGGCCTTTTATTTAGAATATAAAAGTGTTTTCTTTATGTTTTCTTTAGACATGTATATGATAGGATTTCCTTAAATATGCCTGATTTATGCTTCTCCAATCTGTTCTTTTTTCATTATCCCATCTTTTTTTTAATTTAAGTTTATTTATTTACATTCATTCACTGTGTATCATTACAGCATACAAAATGAGATTTTTCCTTCCAGAATACACTGTATATTGGCTCAATCAAGCACATCAACATATGTGTTATTGTCAACAAATACTTTTTCATTTCTTGTTTCTTGTATATTTTGCTTTTTTTCTCAACCTTGATTCCCTCTCACCCTCTGCCATCCCCCACCCTCCTTCCACACTGTGTCTGGTCTTTATGGTTGCTTTCTATGCCTTTACCCCCCCACACATTTTATTGATTCATTAAAGATCTTAATTAATCTAAATATTTTGAATAGCAAGCACAGCTGATATACATCCATGAACACAAGTCTGACTTTAGGCATAAACCTCAGTGAGTAGAATGAACATACCATAAAGTAACACCTAGCTGGGGCTGTATAGCTTACTGCAGTCATCAAATAGGTATTTTTAATAATTTTTTTTTTTTAGTTTCATTTCAAGAAAAACTGTTTTAGTTTTTTTTTGAAACTTTTTTTAAAAACTTAATTAATTTACATTCATTCCCTAAGCATCATCACAGCATACAAAATATGATTTCCCATCCAGAATATACTGCATAGTTGCTTAATCATGCATGCTATCATCAATAATTTTCCATTTCTAGTTTGGTATATATAAATATATATACATATATGTGTGTGTGTCTATATATATATGTGTGTGTGTGTCTATATAAATATGTGTGTGTGTGTGTGTGTGTATATATATATATATATATATATATTTTCTTTTTAACCCCTATTTCTGACCCTCTGTCCTTTCCCACCATCTTCTCACACTATCTCCGGTGTCTACAGTTGTCTTCCATTCCTTCCCCCACCCCACACTGTATTGATCACACAATTTCTTAAATAATCTAACTACTTTCAATAGCAAGTTCAGCTGATAATTTCAAGAAAAGCAGTTTTAACTTAAATCAAAGAAATACTAAAGAACTTTGCTTAAAACTTAAAGCCAGGAAACAGGTTAGGATTTCTGTTCAAATGGTAGGTACATGGACCTATCGACATCTCAAGACAGGACACAAATCCTTAAAATCGGACAACAAAGACAAGAAGAAATTCAGCGATGTTTTAGTCAAGTCATAAAATCTCATGCACTTTATCTTCTGTGCGGTTTGATCTTCCTGATTAAATTCTGGGATATATGGAAACCAGCAGTTAGTGTAATGGCTATGTCGCTGGACTCCCACATAGTTGACCACGGTTCGCATCCCACACCCAGTGGCTTAAAACTCACGCCGGGCACGTGTGCATGCATGCCCAAGATCTCGAGAGAAGAATGGAGAAGAAGGGATTGCGGCGTGACCATCCCCTCTGGGGGGTGATTTCTCGCTTTCTGTCTCTATGTCTCTCTCTGTCTGTATGGCGAGCGCACGCGACCTATAGCGAAAACCTCTCAAAAAAAAAAAAATTCTGGGATATAATATTCAACTCTAGGCTTGTCCCTATTATTAAGTTGGCCATTTTCTTAGTTTTGAACTCTTATTTCTGTGTGTCTGCATTTAATTTCCCTGATGTAGCACTCCCTTGAGAACTTCTTGGAGATCTGGTCTGGTGCTGGTAAATTCTTTCTGGTTTTGTTTATCTGAGAATGTTCTTGTCTTTTCTTCCCACATGAAGGATAATCTTGCTGGGTACAGTATTCTTGATTGAAATTGTTTTTCCCTTAACACTTTGAATATATTTTCCTATTCTTTCCTCGCTCACATTGTTTCTGATGAGAGGTCTGCTGTTAGCCTGATGGGATATCTTTTGTAGGTAACTTGATGTTTTTCTCTTGCCAATCTTAGTATCTTGTCTTTGTCTGTGGTTTTGGTCAATCTGGCCATAATGTGTCTTGGAGAAGATCTTCTTGGGTTTATTCTAATTGGGGTCGTTTGAGTTTCTTTGGACTGGATCTTAGAGTGCCTCTCTAGGATTGAAAAGTTTTCTTGTAGGATTTTATGGAATAGATTACCAATGCCCTTATGAGACTCTTCGCCTCCTGGGATAGCAATTATCCAATTTGTTCTTAATTTATAATCTCACGGAACAGAATATTTGTACATAACACAAAACTTCAAAGGCTATTTGAATGTATTAGAATGTATTAGATCAGAATGTATTAGTCAGATAACATTCAAGAAACTGATACTAAAATACTAAAATTCATTGTTGAAATTCACATCTTTTACAAAAAATATGAAATTTGTTTCCATGGTTTAGAAATCTTGAAAGTACCTAAGAATATTGACTAAATGAAGAATCTTTCCTTCCTTTATTCTAGCTTCACCTTCCCTTCTTATAGGCAACCATGTGTTAAGTTCTTATTTACCTCCTTAAATATATTTATGCACATACAAACAATAAAATACATCTACACATTTATGTACATGTATCTCTGTTGCCCCATTTTCATACTTATGTGTGTCATATGGTAGCACACTTCACATAGCATCCTTTGTCACGTTTTATCTTCTATATATAAATATAAATGTTTGTATATATGTGTATATATAGTTGAAATAGTGTAATCTTACATATACATCAATGCACATGTGTGAGCATATACTTTCTGTAGCATAAATTACTAGAACTGAAAGGCTGGGTTAAAGTGTATGTATATTTGTAAATGTGATAGACAGCACTAAAATTTCTTCCAATTCCAAAGCCATTCCAATTCATGAACATTACTAAATAATGAGTGTCTATATTAGTTTTTCCATTTATGGTGAGGAAAATGTTAGCATTTCTATTTCATGCTTAAATAAAGTTACACATTGCATATTCTGGCAAGTTGCTCAGCACCAAAATTAAACAATGTAACCCTTAATTTAAAAAGTAATAATTTATTAAAGCACTAATTAAGAGACTAATGATTTTTTTAATAGTTACTTAGGATCTGAGTAGGCTCAATGTAATTCTTGGAAGATAAGTTTTAATCATCTCAGAATACTATGTCATAACGTATTTTTCAGCTATAGAAAATCTCATTGAACTCAATGGTTTTAAATTTATACAATTATTACTTCTTGTAGGTAATTGGCAAGGCACCTAAATCATGCAAGTTTTATTTTTTAAAGCTTAATAAAAGTTTTTAAATGCAGAGTTTCTACTAAAAACTTTTTGTAATATCACTTCTACCACTTCTTGAGAATCTATTATGTGGACTGATTTTTTTCCTCTCCTTCTTCATTCCCTTGCTCTCCCTCTCCCTTTCTCTCTTCCTTTCTTCCTTTCTTGCCTTCTCTTTCATTCTTTCTTCCTTTCTTTCCATCTTTCTTCCTTTCTGTCCTTCTCTCTTTAATTTTATGACAGGATCTTACTTTATAGCGATCTTCCTGCCTCTCCCTGAGCCTCTAGGATTATAAGTACGTGCCCTCACCTGGCTTTTCAAGTGGATGGGGAATCAAACCTGGCCCTCCCATGTGGATTCAGCTTACTTAGCATTGGTGTCAGGCAGTAGGTGATTACGAGGCTGAGTCCTGACCTGAATTCTTTTTTTTTTTTTCTTAGAGGTTTTTGCTATAGGGCGTGTGTGCTTGCCAGCCAGCCAGACAGAGACAGAGAGATAGAAAGTGAGAAATCACCCCCCAGGGGGATGGTCACGCCACAATCCCTTCTCCTCCATTCTCCTCTCCAGATCTTGGGCATGCACGCACACGCGCCTGGCGTGAGTTTTAAGCCACCGGGTCCAGGACACGAACCGCGGTTGACTATGTGGGAGTCCAGCGACATAGCCATTATGTTAACTGCTGGTCCCCTGACCTGAATTCTTGAAAAATGTTGTATGACATAATTTGTGCAATAATTCTATGCGGTTAATGATATTAAACCAAATTTAGGGACCAGAAAACTGGTCCAGCAATATGAATTAACTCAAAGTGACACAAGTAACGTGTGCTGCTGAGTAACTGAATAGTCACAAATGGAGAAGAAAACACTTTTGAATGCATGAATTAAACATATAATAGGTATATAATCCATGTTATAGCTACCTAAAGTAAATGCCTTACCTCAAAAGCGAATGACAGGGAAGGGACAAGAGGCTTCAGGTGACCAAATTCATAGAGCATTAGAAACACCAAGCAACGAAGAGTTTCCATAGTAGCTGCCTTGGGTCTAAAATAAATCATCATTACTACACATTAACTTTAAATATGTTCTTTACATGTTTATATACTATAATTAATATAGTGATATATAGTACTTACAGAATCACATCTCTCTGAAACTGTTTGGAAAAGGGCATTAAACTAAGAAAGAAAATGCATCTTTAAAAAAAAAAAAAAAATCCTTTTCGGGACCAGCAGTTGGCATAGTGACTATGTCGCTGGACTCCCATGTAGTCAACAGCTGTTTGAGTCCTGGACTTGTGTGCTTAAACTCACACCAGGTGCATGTGCTCACATATATTTTAATATAATAAATAATTACACAACAAAATTTAGCAGATTTAAATGAGACTTCCCTCACTGACCCAATGTCTGTCTTTATACTTCATTAGAAAGTGACTTATTAGCAGAACTAATATAGTTAAGTCATCTATAATAAAGAGTTTAATACTAATGTTTTATATTAAAACATATGGTGTTCTATAATATACCGATAGTTTACTACTTTGCAGAAAATTTTTAAATTGAGTAAAAGAGAGAGTAAAGAAAAGGAATGTAAAGTAAGAAAAGAAGAGAAGAGAAAATAAGAGAAGAGAAAAGAGAAAATAATTTCACTTCTTGCCTTTGGTCCAGAAGAAATCCAATGGAGGTCAAGGTCAGGATAATGAAGCAAACCCTCAGAAGAAGAGTTATCTGTGATAGTATCTGTCAAGCAAACACAGAGGGCAATGAATTCTTTAGGAGTATTGTTGGAGGAACAACAGTACTTAAGACTGATGAGAAAACAGCCCAATTTTCATATCTTTTAGGCCATTTGTCACTGACTCTTTTCAAAGAGGTTGAATATGCAGAGGATAATTTGGTTTTTCTTAATGCAATTCCTTGCTAGACTCATGGAGAATGAATTAGAAAATTCCATTATGATATTTTGCTTAAAGTGTTCTTTCTGAAAATTCTCCTTTAAAGATTTGACTTTCATAGTGTTCTGAAGCATGTGATCCCCCACATATGGAGAAATCACTCGTTTTCACAAATAAATACATTTCAATGGCTATTTTTAATATCACCAACTCTGTGGTTAAAATCTAAAGCATTCTTGAATACAGAAAATGTAAAACACGGAATGTGTTCAGGAGTGCAAGTACCTAGAGGAAAGAGATACACATACATATCACATTCACGTTTGATGACATCTACATATTCATATGTACTTTTCAAAAAAGTTATCTTTGAATCATTGTAATAGCATATTTTTTCTGTCAGAATTATGAATTAATTCTGGGACTAGCTCAGGGGCTCAGTGGTAACATGTTGCTTAAATGAAGTGGATCCTTAAATGAAATGAATGGAAGATTATGAATTCTGTTCTCTGGTCAACCTGTCCATGCTTAGGCCTGTGTAGCCATGATCTCGACTAGCTGGGAAGGTTGCAGGGAAGATCCGGATGTGGGTCTTTGTCAGTGGTGTTTGTCTTTTCCTCTAACTATCATGAAAAGAAAGAAAGAAACTTAAAAATATTATAAATTGTTCATTTAGTTTACGTATCGACATTTAATAATGTTTATTAAGCATCTGTGTTGTAGTCCCCATGCTATGTGATTATTATACTTTATTTTTTTTATATCCAAGTAACCTTGCAAAGTAAATGTCATTATATCTGCCTTATGTTTTAAAATATAAAATCTGAGGGTTATGTATATTTTCCATTATCGCACAGAAAATAGATGATGCTTCTGAAATGCAAATTAGACCTGCCTAACCCCAAAGCATGACTATAGTATCTTGGATGTGAACAACAGAATTAAAGGAGGAGTGGCAGAGACCTAAATCAAGGTTCCATAGCCAAAGTATAAAGCCAGCTGAATGGGGCTTCAGAATGAAAGGAATCAGTCAACTCAAGGGCTTGGATAATTTCCCTAGACATGATTGGTGCTTAAGTTTCACCTTTATGAGAATACCAAAGGTGGGATAAAACAGGTTGACTAAAACAGTGACTACATGTTTACACAAACACTTTCTTTCCCTTTTTTCTCCTTGAAGTCAGTACAGATTATTTCCATTTATTGTTAGCTAGTATCTCTACCTACAACTAAATTGAGTCTGCCCAGTTATAAACAATAAGCAATAGCCACTATTTGCAATTACCACTCATATAAAGCACCTCAACTCCATGCCATGTTATAAAACAGCCTTCTCTCTCATGGCTCACTTCCTGGGATGGCAGCCATTATAATCAAGGGATTTTTAAGCCCTCCAAACAATTTAGTAGTAGGGTAACGCTGAATGGCCCAAAATTTGAATTAAAAACTGTCAGAATGCTGAGGAATCTAGAGACAATAGTAGGTATTAGATATAGGATGAGGAACTCAGTGGATGCCAGAATGTCTTGGAATAGAGCAGCAGAGTGTGAAAACTAGCAATGGCTGCTTTGGACAATGAAGCAAAACATAACAGAAAACCATTTTCTTGGTGATAAAAGTAAAGTGTGTGCAGAGGATTTAGGGAGGCTTCCAGATGTGAACCTGGAACCTTCCCAGGTGGGTCAGCTTCACAAAGTGTGGTGTTAACTGCTCCATCACTGTGTAGTGCTTATTTGACATTTCTAAGTTTCAGTCACTTGAGGTTCCTTTGAAATAAAACACGAATTTGGCAAGGACTCTGATAAAATACTTAGAAGAGTGCTTGGCACGAAGTAAAACGTCAATTAATAGTCTTGATTAGTGTAATTATTACTATATTCAGAGCCTTAGGCTAGTCTTAATTAGTATCAATAAGTTAAAGAAATGAGAAACATTAAAAAGGTCTGTAAATTCTTCCAAATATCATAAAGAGCTCAGAGATGGGATGAAATATTTATTTTTTGTTTTGGTTATAAAATTTACAACCTCTGGACAAAACAAAGAACTCTTCCTTCCCAAATCATTTCTTGGCTACCAGAATCAGAGTAGAAAGCAACTCAATACAGGAATCCATCTGCCTACTCAACAGTTCTACTTGGCGAACAGGCATCTGAAATTTAGCACATCTAAAACCTGCATCTGATATCCTCCTGCGGACACATTCCCTACATACTTCATCTTAAGACAGGGCACCTGCAGGTTTTCACGTGCTCCAGGACAAGAGCTTGGGACTTGTCATTTACTCTTTCTCTCACTTGTTTACTTCTAACACATCACAGATAAACACGGGCACCAGTTGAAAGTATATCCAGAGCAAAGGTGTTTGTTACAAACAGCACGACTCATACCCTGTTCTGCCCAACATGTTCTCTACCACAGCCGTTGAGTTCTCTCCTAACTGCTCTTCCATCTTGTAAAATTGCCTGTTTACCTACCTGTGGAATGAAGTTACCCTGTTAAAGTGTATCTCAGATCTAATCACTCAGGTCCTAAGTTTGAAGCCAGGGGCTTCAAATCTCACTTAGATTAAAACTCCAAGTTCTTACTCTGGGCTACACCCAACATATTCCTAGACTGTCTGTAGTAATCTCTCTCTGGCACTCTTAAGACATTTCAGCTGTTTTGCCATTCCTGGAAAATGACAAGCATCCTTTCCATTCAAGTCTGTTTCACCTCCTTTTCCTTTAGCTTGAAATGACTTTTCCCATTAATCTTTTTTTTTTGTTTGAGAGAGATTTTTGTTATAGGGCATGTGAGCTCACTGGAGAGACAGAGACAGAGAGACAGAAGTGAGAAATTGCCCCCAAGGGAGTATGGCCACACCACAATCCCTTCTCCATTCTCCTCTGGGAATTTTTGGGCGTATACACACATGCATCCAGCATGAGTTTTAAGCCACTGAGTTCGGGACTCGAACCCTGGTACACTACATACATGGGAGTTCAGCGGCATAATCATTATGCCAGCTGCTAGTCCCAAAGATAATTGTTTTAAAAATGTACAAATTTAAAGTAAACTTAGAGTATTAAAAAAATTCATATAGAACTTTCTTCAGAAAGTTCCATTTTTTTAAGCAACTCAAAATTTTCCATGTTATAATATCCTTTCATAAGCTAATTAAGGAATACTATCAAATGATCTTCTCAGATTTCTACCCATTCATTCAGTGAATATTTACTTATTAAACTTGTGCTGGGCACTATGGTAAATAAGAGTTTAAAGGAGTAAGGACAAAAATCCGTGCCCTTGAACTCATACCAACCTAAGCCCTGCCGGTAGGAACATTGGCCAGTTACACTAGAGCAAAAAGAAAACAAAGAAAAGAACAGTGAGGGCCAAATGGCAGCAGTAAAATGCAGTGCTCTGCAAGGCTGACCCACACGGGAAGGTTCTGGGTGTGCATCCAGGGACTTCCCTGAGTTATCCGGGAAGATGCATATCCATGATTCAGGGATGGTAGAACAGGGGTGGAGGAGAGTGGAGGGATGGTAAGTGGACTGTAGTGTCAAGACTCATATTTTGAGCTACTAGCTCTCTGTCTCTTTTTCTCTCTCTCTCTCTCTCTTGCTCATGGAAGAAATAAATAAAAAAAAGAGGATATTTGATAGGTTTTGAGCACTATATTTAGTTTCCTGTGTTTTAAACAATATGTTGAAATCACATATAGCTTCTTTATTTCTTATAAAAGAAAGAATTTTTGCCTTTACTCTCATTTCATGTTATCCATGGCTGGATGTATTTTTTACATAAATATCTCAGTCCTAATGTGTTAAATGGAATTATTCTAAATTAAACTTTGAATATATTATCAGTTCTTATAATAAAAAGCTGATAATCATAAAAATATTTACGAAGTAAGCAATTATTTCCCCTCCTTTCAAATTATCTTTCAAATCCCAAGCAGTTTAGTAGTCTTTATTTCCATAGTTTAATTTTTATTTATTATTATTTTTATTATTTATACATTCAATTGCTATACGTCATTTAGATTGTAAAGAGACTTTACCATAGTTTTTGCAGTGCAGGAAACATGGTCCAGACTTGTAGCCCCAAGTATGCCTGAAACATACTACCTTCCTGCAAATTTATCTAAATAAATGGGAAGAAATACTCAGGAAGAGACATTACTTACACAGGAACTCCAAAATTACATGTGCGATGCAATGTTGCTTAAACTATCAATGGATATGTCGAAGTCCTTCCTTTGTCCATAGATACAATAGAGGAGAAAGTCCTTTTGTTCCTGCAGAAGGCTGTGACCCTCTTACTATTCCACAGAAAGAAAAACTCATGTGGCCAACAAAATTATCTTTCATATTTCCCTGCCCATGAATCTCATGAAGGGGAATTATTGGCCTCATATGCAACATCCTAAAATAATCGCATGTTTCTATATAAAATATTTTTTAAAGTTTATACATTATCAAAGATCATTTGATAATATTTTCTTTCTTTTTTTAAATTTTTGCCATAGGGTGCATGTATTTGCCCAAAGGAGATGGAGAGGAAAAGTGAGGAATCGACCCCTGAGGGGTGTGGCCATGCAGCAATCCTATATCCAGTCTCCTCTTGGGATTTTGGGCATGCATGCAGACATGCTTAGCATGATTTTCAAGCCACAAAGTCCTGAACTTGAACCACAGTCAGACATGAGGGAATCCAGTGCCTTAACTACCATGTCATCTGCTGGCCCTATTTTCATGTTTTTGTTCAATAGTTTACAAATGAAAAAGTCTAGATTTTGTTGTTATAACAAGATAGAGCATTTTTAGAAATTTATTTTAAAAAGTGTCTGGCAAGAGCTTC